TCTCCTTTTCTCAACGACCTAAACGGTCATCATTTTTTTGCGGGCATTAACTAAAGTCTTAAATGAAAGTGAGTACATCATACGTCATGTCACCATAGCCCACGGTCGTCATCGTGACAACGGCCCACCAGAACGCGTCCGGAATGGACTTGAAGTATGAATTCTCGGAGCCGGCCTCCGCGAAGTATACCGCCGACGAGAATAGCACCACACCTGCAATGCAAGGAAGAAAACACCGGTTCAGTGGGTTTAACGCCCCCGGTGGCTCTGTACCTCATGTCGCCGTAGCCCACGGTCGTCATTGTGACCACCGCCCACCAAAACGCGTCCGGTATCGATTTGAAGAAGCTGTCCTGCGTGCCGGCCTCCGCGAAGTAGACTGTCGACGAGAACAGCACCACACCTGCAACGCACACAAGAGGAAGGCACGTGTCAGGACGGTATACGTCATCGTCCACACGCGTCGTATACATCGGTCTCGCGGACGCGAGGATCCGACTACTGAGATCGTCCGATCTGTTCGTCTTCCTGATCGCACCTGGAATTGTCCATGTGACATACGTGTATCCCAGGATTAAATAGAATTATTTATGATCCAGGTAATCGGTTGATCGCACCTGGACTGTCCACATGATATACGTTGTAAGTACATGGCTCAGTTATTAGAATCATCCAATCTGGATAATTTCATGATCACACCTGAAACACTTGGACCTAGAATGTCCATATTCTAGAACTAGAATCAACTGATTGCCTTTCAATTAATTTCTGATTTATTTTCAGTTAAAAATGTGTTAAATGATTTTTTAGTGAGAATCTACTCGTCTGTCAATAGCAAAGAAAACATTAGTAGAAATTTTGTACAATTTTATTGTCTTTTTATATATTAATATAGTGATACATTCAATAACAGAAAACTTTTCCCTGTAACACTGAAGCATCGGAAATGTGTGTGTGTGTGTGTGTGTGTGTGTGTGCGTGCGCGCGCGCGCGTGCGTATGTGTGTGTGGTGCGTATGTGTGTGTGGTGCAAACAATTTTATTTTTGAAAAAGATTAACATTGTTTTAGGGAGAAGATAAATTAACTTGTACAGTAGAATCTCGTTTGTAAAATGTAATAATATTTTAATAGCTTACATTTATTTTTGTATAGCTGTAAAACAGTAACATTTTAATATAAGTAAAAATTTAGAAAAAAATTGAATCAAAGATAATAAATTTTATCAGGATTTCTAAAAGTATTATTATATATATATATATATACATTGCATAATATCTCTCAATCTTCATTTATTATTCAATCTATGAATTTTAAATAAGTGTTATTATGTAAATATATATAGTCTTATTATGTAAATTTATGTGTATAACCAATCAATTATAAGAAATTAATCTAAAAAACAAAAAATAATTATAATGTAATTGTAGCACCAAAAAAAAAATCTGTAAAGGTTGTGTGTGTG